GCGATGCTTCATTTCAAACTTATACAAATCTGCATATCACCGAATCACGCTCTTCACCATCCTCAAATTTATCACCGCAAAGAGACATATCATCCATTTAAGGCTACCACCTAAACAGTAGCTCTTTCCATTGAACGTTCGATTCAGATTTACATCTGGCTGAACCGATATGCTCAAATGACCAACTGATACACTCACTCGCTCACTGCTATGAACTCATCAGCATTACTATGCTGAACAGATATTGTTTCATTTTAGAAATCAGGATAAAATTTTCGAGCGTATAATCCTTCCAAACTATAAAGTAGGAATGAAGACATTCCACTACGAATGTTTTTTCTTGATTTGAAATATTACCATCGACTGATCATCAATCGATCGATTGGCTCTTTCATAAAACGTGATGTATGAACAAATATCAAGCATGAAATTTTGCAGCCGCGAACCACTGAATACTCTAGGAACGCGAAGCAGACAAAACAGAACGGAGTTTTATCCGAGTAACCGGATATGATTCGAATGTAATCGAAAATAAAGAAAAGTGATATTCGCATGGCGATCCCATGTATTTGTATGGCACTATAATTGCATGGCTCATTAAGTTTGACCTCATTCGAATGATGGAAAACATGGTTTCATGGTTGGTTGTGTTGTCTATCGCGTTACCGGAAATTTGATCGACAAATCTCACTTCACCAAAAAATCTAATGGATAGCTAAAGCCAACACTAGGAATAAAAACCCGTCAAGCGCAGTTGCTAACAACTATGAACCCTGCTTATTGTTAGGACAAAGACAGGCAATAACGAAAACAATAATTCCGGTAGCTTTGATCACACAACCATAGTCAGCTCTTGCCATCCACAAACAACTAGATGCAGATTTCTATGATAGCATTTCACATCAGATCAATGCTATGAAGGTTTGAAAACGTTTCGTCTTCAATTGAATCACCACATTATTGCTCACCTTGATACTGATTATTTTTTCGGCTCGACTCTCCAAACCGTCACCAGATTCGTCAGTGTTCGATGATTCAGACGTATCGGCAACCATCAGAATATCATCCACACTGATCTCATCGTCGTAACCACGCGCA